GAGGCATGGTTTATAAGCTGCTGCCGGTTGAGCACTTGGCTCGTTGTTTCATGTCAAAAAGAGGTGTTTTTTTTTCTGCCCTATCAAGTCTGTCATTAGGGGAGTTTTTCAGTTCTTTAAATTCAAAGTCTGGGCGCATACAAATAGTATAAATAGCAAAATATAGTATTCTGGATGCAGCATGACAGTGATAAGTAGAGTTGTAGTGTCCAGGCCGACTGGCCATTCAATAGGCTCGAATCTGACCAGATTCTCATTGATTGAATGATCTCAGGTGTTACGTTCATAAAGAGAAACGCTCTACATCAACAGCTTCTCAAGGATTGATCCGTTGTTTTTGGAAGTGAACAGATTATCTGTATGGAGACTGCTGGATCTAGTGAACATTTACTTAGACTTGAAAGTAACTGGCGCCATAGTAAAACACTCGTGAGGCTGCATTTTGTTCAAACAGACGGTAAAAAGTCGAGCGTAAACTTTGCGAACAGCAGTTTGTGTAACTCGACTCAACATGTCAGATCATCTACAACCAGCAGCTGACTTGTGCTGGGAGGTGATTTGGTTGGCTTTTAAAAATCATTGAATATGGCCGGGTCTTCTCTATGTCTGTTCTTGTCACATCTGTAGAAAATAACAGGTTCAAATGATTTCATGTGCTGCAAATATGTTGAGCTGTAATTCCTTTAGTCTAAGACGGCTAGCAGGTAGAGCGCACTCAATCCACTGGCTGACTTAGTTCATCTGCTGACAACCCAACAACTAATCGATTGGTGGAAGTTCAGGTATCAGTTCAAGAAAACCAAGATTGTCTTTGGTTGACTACAGCCCTGGTAAAAACACTTTTACCGTCATTATCTATGGACAAGAATGTTTAGTAACGCATTATTCCAATTGGTAAATATTTTAACAAGACCTCATGGTAGTGAGCTTTTTCTTCCTGAGATGCACAGTGGCGTCTCTTTAAAGGGCCATCGCACCAAGAGTACCGCAAAAATGACCGTTTTCCTGACTGCTAATATCTGTCCTTTGGGATCTTAATGTTTGTAGATGGATGGTGTTTACAGCATTAGAAAACGTATTAAAAGTTCAAAATGTCTTTTTAGAAGCAGAGAACAAAACAGTGGAAAAGAATTCTGTCTTGCAAGTTTGCCAACTGACATCGCAGTGCAAAGAAAATTAAAGAGTGCATGGCATCCAACTTGTTTACCAACTAAACTTCTCTGCAGTTAAAAACACCATATTATGCTTTCTAGGTTTTCTTTTAACTTCAGTGTGTTATACAGCTGCCTTTACATACCTGAACATAGAAGGTCTACAGACTTTTCCACAGACAACAGTGCTTCTTATCTGTTTGAAACACCTCGTTTAAAGTCCAGGCTTTGCTTCCGTTACTTTATGACATCACCGTGTAAGAAATTTGCATGACGGCCGACTATTGGCTAGTTTGGCCTCAAACACAAAATGAGCAGCTTCCTCGCAGTCAGCTATTAAATCTTTTTCTCTTTTCTTTTATAATACGTGACCGACATTACTTGAATTTTGTTTGAGCCAGCTGACCAATCAGAGCAGACTGTGAGGGGGGGGGCTTAAAGAGAGGTGAAGTTAAAACGGAGCGTTTCAGACAGAAGTTAAGAAAAAAATGTACGCATTGAAGCATGTAAACGTATTCTAGTAGACCCTCAGAATAAAAACAAAAAAAATGAACCTTTAAATGAACACAGTAGGGGCTCTTTAACGCCACACTAAGGACTAAATTAGTTTTGGCGATGATTGGAGGCTGGACGTGGATGGACAGTACCTTAGGAGTAGCTGATTAAAATGTTGAAAGTTTATTTTAATCTCGCTCTTTTGTAGTTTGCACTGTTTAGTCGCCCTACTCAACACATGCAGCTTGGTTTCCATCTACCAGTGCAGTGCCCACTCTTTTATCCCTTAATAATGTCCAAGGCTCGGTTTCCCGGATTCCCTGAAATCCACATAAACGGCGTCCATCTCCTCTTTGGGACACGTGCACGCTTCGCCCTCCCTGACGCATACTTTCACAGCACACACACTGACACACTCTAATTTATACTGACACACAGATGGCCTCTGCTCCGACCACAAATGTAGTGTAACCCCTGCTCCCTGCGGTGCGTCCAGGCCTCAGACTGCCAGTAAAAGCGAGGGATGCTTCATGGCTCAACAATTCGCTGGCTAAATGGAAAGGGTTTGGTGTGTGACCTCAAACACTCTCCTTTCTGTCTCCCTTTCTCTATCTCACTTGCTGCTTCTTTTTTTTTTTTTTTCCTTTTCATTTTGTCCACTCCTGAATTTGCTGCCAGTCTCCTAATCTGATTTTTCTCCTGGCCTCTTTTTGCGTGTATTCTGCTTTCGGTGCGGCGAACGCTCAGATCTTTATTTATTAGTCGCTTTTTTTCTCTCTCTCTCTCTCCCCCTGCTTTCCCTCGTCTCTTTTTCTTGAATTATTTTGTGGCGACCGAATTCAGCGTCTACAAACGAGAGTCAAATTATATTCTAGTATCCAGAGAGGGATAAAGGGTAATCTTAGCTGCTTTTTAGCCCATTTTTCTTTCTCTCTGTGTTCCTGGCTGCAAAACAGTCCAGAGTAGAGTTTCACTACTAGTTCTCCCTTTATGCAAAGTGTACTTTATGTCTCAGTTTTATGGGCATTTTGAAGTATCGCATTAGAAAAAAAAAGCTCTGGGAAACGTGTGGACACAACTAACCACACGACTTGATGAATACAAGACTTTCACTACTTAAAAGTTATGTGATTCAGAACCACCGCGCTGTAGTTAAACCAGCAGAGCCGGTTCTTGTGTGGGTGTTATTTAGCTGCAAGATATTTAACTGTTTTCAGTTACTAGTCGACTGTTTAGTGCAACTCATAAGCTGATTTTTCACTAAACATTGTGGTCTAAAAATACCAAAAAAGACACTAAAATGACACCTTTTATGCTCACTTATATTCATTTGATCCATTGTTAATACAAAAATAATCAAAAATGTTAAATAATACATATTAAATTTATCTTATTTTCCACTTTTTACCTAGCCTGACTTACCGAATGCAAACTAAGGGTATCAAACTGCCACTGGCCACTCATTTCAGCCAACTTTCTGATTTCCTCCTGCTGACTACGTGGTACAGTTTTCAAAATCAACAATAGGAAACAACAACAACAACCTCAAAGCTAGCAACCTAGCAAAATTCAAATGGGATTGTGCAGTAGAACAGCTATGCTAGTTTTGGGTTTTCTTGGTGAAATATCCACTTTATTGCTTCCTCTGTTTTGAGGTAACACCAAAGTCCTTCGCTTAACTCCACGCATGACTAATGCGATTGTTGTAAAGAAATGCAAACAAGCTCCAACATTTCTTTTCCCCTTTATAGCTAAATGATGCTGAGGTGCAGTCAGACCATTCTGCAGAATAGTCTGGCTAGAAGAGACTACTTTATACTTAACAAAAAAAAAAACGTAGTGCGTCCTGGATGAGTTTTCATCATGTCAGTGAAGCCATGTGTCCATAATCTAATTATTTATGCGTATTTTTAGAGTTTTGCACAAAAAAACTTTCATGGAAATGGAGAAACTCTTGCAAAAACTTCAATACTTTTGCCACAAAAGTTTGTAAAGAGTTAAAGTTAGATGGAAAACACCATTTTTTTGAATAAGTTCTGACGCGGCAAATATTTCCAGCTGTTTTTACTTCTTTTGTTTGACAGCATGAAACACGGCCAGTAGCAGCTGAAAAGAAAGAATATTTGCAATTTTCCTGATTGGAAACAAGTCTTTTCTCCAAGCTTTGTTTATTTCTTATTTTGCATTGAGCATTTGGAAAAACAATTGGTTTTCTTCCTGGCTTCTTTCACTCTGTTTGTTGCAGCCATGTTGTCTACAGCGCCACCTTCTGATGAGTTTATTAGCTCCAGTCCTGTTAATTAAAAAAAAGAAAACTTTATTCCCTTTTTTTTTTGTGGCATTTCATAAGTTTGCGTCAGATTTTCTCGATAATTATACGTTAACGCAGCCATACTCTTTTCCTCTTTCTTTCTCCTTCCCTTTGCTCCACAGCCTCCAGATTTAGATCTTGCCTCCTCTCTCTTTTTTATTTTTTTTCTCCTTCTCCACGGAGGTGTGATCCACCTCCCCTCCTGTCTGCGAGGTCAGGAGCAAAGTGAGGACACATGAGGAAGGCAAACCTCAGCTCACAAATATGAGCACTATGAAGAAAAAGTGTGCATTTCAGTATAGTGTGGTTCAGTGGGTTTATTGGGTAACAGATACGCTGAAATCGAGTCCAAATTTCAGCTTTGCCAAGAAGGTTTTAATGGTATTAGAGACATTACTTCATGGGGAAGTGGCTTCTATCATGAGTAGCGTGCAGAGATTAAAAAAAATCAGTGATCAGAAAATTGAATAATGGCGTCCTTGCTTGTTCCAAATGTGGCTGATCTACATGTGAGCGCTGTCGTACACAATTGCTACCGCGGCGTAACGTCCCAGAATAATAAGTAAGAAGAGCTGCACACAGAAACACAACATAATAATAAAAAAAAAACGAGCGAAAGGGCGCAATCCCCCAGTCACAGTGTTTGCTCAGAGAAAAATATCAGCTTGTGTTTGTAAAATATGGCTCTGAAATTTCATACTGTGTTGCGCGAAAGTGCGAAGAACCTCAGGAGGTGTGAGTGATCGCATAGCCAATATCAAATCCTTTCGCCTTCAAGTTAAAGAAAGTCCAGCCAGGTGGATTTGGGTGTGTAGCAGTAACGTGCACACAGTCGTAAAAACAAAAAAGGGGGAAAAAAGAAGGAGTTTTCAGATTGGAGAGGACAGGCGAGGATCAGGGGTGCCGAGGGAAAGGCTCAGGGTTAACTTTCCTCTAAAGGGTGTCAAAAAAAGGAACTAAATTGGGTGTCAGAAAGCGCTAAGGAGCTGAAATAAGTCAGAGTCCCCGGCTCCCATGTGGGTGGGTGCTCGCTTTATACTTCTCAGACAATGTCCCTTTAAAAAGCCCCATGTCTGGAAAGCCCATTAGATGTGCATATAAAATTTCCCCCGTGATTAATAGTTGATGAGGCAGGGTTGGTTGGAGGGTACTACCAACATGTGGCCTGCAGGGCTCCTCCTCTGCAGGCTCACGTTACACTCCATAAACTTGCCACTCTTTCCCACCTATATGTTTAAAAAGGAGGAGGGCTCACTTGTCAAGAATGCCTTAGAAGAGTTGTGAAAACAGCCAGCCCGAGAAGGGGAGTCATGCAGTTGCGGATGCAGCTCTCCCACTGAGCCACAAGCCAGTCTGAAGCCGAGAGGGTGGTGTGAGAGCGAGGCAGAGGGAAAAGAGAGGGTCTCCGAAGGACGTCACCAACACTCCCAGAGAGGGAAGGGAAGCACGCTGCCGCGGGAAGGCGTCCATCCTCACGCGATCTGGGCTGTGGAAGCCTCTGACAGCACCGAGCGTTCACGTGAAGATGTGCATTTAGTGGAGGCTTTATTTTAAAAGATTCACATTTCCCGTCCTGATTTGCTTTCCTGAGAGGGGTTCGAACTCCCCGACGAGTCTTGCAATACTCCAGAAAGCGCGAGTGGCATCACCCATGGATCAGCCGGCCAGCAGCTGCATGCGGAGCGCCCACCCCAGCAGCCCCATCTGGGGCTGCATGAGGAACCCTCACCCGGGGGCCAACCTGCAGTCGCCCTACCAGCAGGCCCCTTTCTCCCTGCACCAGAAGCCCGAGTTCCTGGCCTACACGGACTTCTCCGGCTCCTGCCTGGTGCCGAGCGCCCCCCACGCCGCCTACCCCCGCGACGACAGACTCTACCACGAGAGCCAGGGCGGCTACCAGAGAGCCGACTGGCAGTTCAACCCCTGCGAGACCCGGGTGAGAGCGCCCGAGGCCTGCCCGCCCGTCGCCCCGCCGGTGGTGGGCGGCGGCAGCGGCGGGGACGGAGGACCCGAGCTGGACACTGTGGGGGGGGACAGGCTGCCAGGCGCCGTGCCCGGGTGTCTGGAGGGTGAATACTCGCCGCAGAGTGTGGCGTCGGCCGACTCGGACAAGAAGAGCTCCAACAAGAGGAAGAGGGACGTCACAGGTGAGTGAAGGAGGCAGCATCCCAACACTCGCCGCAGGAGGCAAAAAAACACAATATTAAATGTGAACCTATGAAGTAAAAATGTGCTGCATGTGTCATGATCTGGGTCGTTTTTAAAATCTTTTTGGACCTGCATCAAAAATGCAAAAAGCTAAATTGTCGCTCACTTTATAAACTAAAGCGAGTCAAGGTCAAGAGCGTCTCCCGTGCCCTCCGTCGCAGCTGGCAGCCAGACAAATCCCCTCTATTTCCTCACCAAATTGCTCTTAAAGCGGCACCCTCACCAGATCGCTATGTGAGAGGTGAGTAGGTGACGAGACTTTTGTGTTCGAGACACGCTTTGAGCGGCGGTCGCATCCTCGTATTGTTCGGGAGTTTGATTCAGACGAGGCGTCCGAGCGTTTCGTTCTTGCTGCTGCATCCGTTGGAAATGAGCTATTGTTTTAAAAACGATGGTGAAAAAAATAAAAAAGGTGTGAGGGGTGATTTAAGGCATCACAGGTGCTTCAGACTGTCAGTGGAGAATTAGTGAGATAAACTTACACTCAGTTAATTATTGTTAATTTCAGGAGAAGGAATAAAAAAGCGATTATTTCCAGTAATGTGTTAATATTTATATTCGAGGCTATTTCTAGAACAAATAAAACATTTAAATGAGCAGCTCTGTGTGCTTTTGGATTATAGTGTCATTTATTCCCCACTATCACGTTTCAAACATGCTAATAGGAAGCAAAAGGAACCGATAGCCGTGACAGACTAATTCCTAAACGCAACATTAGCAGCAAAACCAACAGGCCAGAGGAGACTTTTTAGATTTAAATGTGTAGATATTCACCGTGGCAAAATAAAACCACATCCAACACGTGTAAAAAGTCATTCGTAGAGTTTAAACTTGGCAGAAAAGACGAGGATTTACCCACATATATGTATAAACTGGTAGGAAAGAAGAAGTTTGCAGTAAATACTTTGGAAAAATTAATGCAGCTTCTTAAAAAAAAAAAAGTTTATTTGCATTTTGGAAATGAGGAATTTTAGCTTTAATCCACTTGCATCATCTCAACACAACACGTCATAAATGATTATTTGTAAAAACCTCCACGACCAATGTATGCAACAGACATGAGTCTAATTGAAAAAGAGGAGGTGGGGGAGCGCCTCCCTCCGTTTCTTACCTTATTGTAACCTCCACTCGCTGCCCTGAAAACATGCCAGACCACGTCTGGTAAAATCACTTTCCTGTGAGCCCACTTCTTACATTCTTATCCATTGACATTTTCCTGTCGTTAAGCCGTAACACAATCTCCCACTGAGTGCATGCAACATGTCTGACCACTACATCAGTTCTGGGTTTTCAGAGAGGAGCCCTCCACTTCTTCGCTGCTGGACGAGCTGGTAGAAAAGAGCATATATTAGGAAAATGTCCTGCAGGCATGAAGGACGCAGCTGCTGATGTGGAAACGTGCTTCAACCAAATCACATGATCTGACGTTGAACTGAGTCCAAAGTTTGACCAACATGACAGTGTGTAATACTAGAAGAAATGATGATATAAACATCCTTCCATCTTCCTGTCACTGGAAAAATGGACAATATGTTTTGAATTACGATTAATCGATTAGTCGTCAGCTCTTAGATTAATCGATTAAGAACAAATTTTTTTTTAAACATTTCCTCATTCCAGCTTCTTAAATGTGAATATTTTCTGGTTTCTTGCCTCCTCTATGGCAGTAAATTGAACATTTTTGGCGTTTCGGACAAAACCTTTTGGACGTTTTTCATCATTTTCTAACATTTTATAGACGAAACACTTAACAGCGCTCTAAATATTGAATCTTCTGATCATTGAGACACAAAACACTATATTAATATTTAATACACTCAAACATTTTCAGTGTTGATTCACATATTTGTCGCCTTCATAACTCCTCCCATGAGTCATCCATATATATACATAATACAGGATGCCATTAACTGTTTATACACATGTGGAAATCTACTCCACAGTGTGCAAAGCTGCAGCTCTGTTTTTAAGCCACGAATTCATTTCTCAACACCTGAAATGAGCTTATTTGGCTTTACAGGTAAATTACTTAGTGTTTTAGTCTAATATTAAACATTTATTAACTGATAACTGCTTGAATATGTTTAAAAAGGAGGAGTTTTAGGTAAAGTAAAGTATGTTATTAAGTGTTATAGTCTAAAATTCAGCATTTATTAAGTGGTAACTGCTTAAATATGCTAAATAGGGCTGTTGAAGTAAACGTTAGCCAGTAAAACATCCTGATTCAGTGTGAAATTCCGCCTCCATCTTTCACTCGTACGAATTAGGCGATCAATCACACGTGTAATTTTCGCCTGGGTTTTTTTTTTTTTTTGCATTAAAGCAATTTACAGCCGCTTTAATTCAGCCTGCGATTAAGACAAACTGCTCGAGCGGCGTCCACCCAGAAAGGCACCAAATGCTGTTTGTCTGTGGGAGCCTGCTGGGCGCAGAAGCCTTCTCCCCTGCAAGTTTACGGCCTCTGGCTGTGCAGGATATTTATTGGGGGCCTGTTTAGTGGGAGCCAGTGTGGGCCCTGCCAGGTGTTGGGCCTAACTAAACCTGTTTGACACAGCTCCAGACCAGCGCCGACCAGGCCAGGCGGCGCTCGAACCGCAATGAGGGAGTTTTTTTTTCTGCTTGACAACACACTCTCCTCCTGCACACATGTGTCCCGGTCTGCCCAGTCACATCTGGACCAGGTACTGCAGTCCATTTCACGTTCTGGCCCACCGCTCTGGCAGGCGGCGAGCAAAACTTCTCACTTTGACAAATTAGAACCATTTTCTGGAGATTACATCAGCTGCTAGTGTCGCTACCAATGCGCAATTATTAGCCCAAACTCATTCCCTTCGACGCTCAGGAGACGCTCTGCTGCTGCTTTCATGTGTGTTTAACTTTAAAACTCCACCGGTTTTTTTTGCCCGATGCAGAGAAAATCTATAAATCCCAGTAATTAGATAATCCCAGGTTTGCTCACGCGATCTGTTTTACCAGCGGAACTGATGTCAGATTTACTGGCGGAGCCTTTTAACTGATATTCATAGAGATATCTCGGGCTCCTCCTGATGTATTCGCTGTCACGTACGGATGAGTTAATGCGAATCTCCCCCCGAGCGCTCCGGTGGGAAATTCTCCTGACATACGCCCACGTAGCCCTCAGACCTGGACACATCCGCACCTTTGTTCTTTTGTTAGAGGCTTTAACGATGTTCCGCCGCATTCCTCTGCTAACTCGGTCCCTCTGTGGCTGGTTTGGTGGCCCCTGCCCTCCACCGATGCACCGGCAACCAAGAGAAGCAGCACAAATAAGTCAAATGTGCAGCAAAAAAAAAAGAAAACACGCATTTGGTCTGAGCACGCACACGTTGCAGGTGAGCGTGAGGCCTGGTCAGGGTGGTCTCTTTTTAAAGTGCTGCTTTTAGTGTTTACTATATGAGGGGCCTCCCACTAAAGAGCCTTTGGAGTCTTGGTTTGTTGGTGCTTAAGTTCGGTTTAATAGCTAACAAGAGGCTGCCCACAAAATGAGCTAATTCGAATCAGATTAGCTGCGAATCAGTCGAAAGCGTCCGCAGGTCAAGTGGTGAGACGAACAAGCACACAAAGCAAGAGCCTCACGTCGCCGCATGAAATCCACTTTCTCGCCCCAGATATCCAGGAGTCCAGTTTTAAGGTGGATTCCAGCTGCAAGGCCAGAAAAGAGCGCACGGCGTTCACCAAGGAGCAGCTGAGGGAGCTGGAGGCCGAGTTCACCCACCACAACTACCTGACCCGGCTCCGTCGCTACGAGATCGCCGTCAACCTGGACCTCACAGAGAGACAGGTACGCCGTGGTTCTGCATCAGGACGAAGCTCGCTCATGTTGTTGTGTTTGCATTGATGTTACTATAAACAAACAATTAGAAAACACCTGCAAGATTTTGGATTTGAGGGATTTTGTACCAGAAACTACTGGATCTGCCTCATACTGCAATATAATATGGAAAGAAATGTCAGGTTTTTACTCACTGTGGGCTCATCTATGGAAACAGGACTAGAAGTAGAGAGAAGTCAGAAACGTCTGATCTACAGTTTAACACTGTTTAACGCCACAAATCGAGAAAAAGATTAAACAAATGTTGAATTCCTTAAATTATATATTTTACAAAAGTGGGGGAAAAAACTGGAAACATCATGATGTTAACAATTCTGGAAAACAATGTGTTGACTCTACACACTGTAGATAATTTACTACTTGTTTGTATTTGTTTCTTGTCTTTTTTTTTTTAGTAAACACAGACTGCAGCTCAACCAAAAAGTTGCTGAATTTCCTGTGATGTGACTGTAGGACACAGCTGAGTCACTTGTTGCTTTTTGGTTGCAGCTGGAGATGCAGAATTTTATTATTTTTTGCAAAAGGTTTGGTGAATTTTTGATTTGAAGTGATTTTGATTAAACGTCACGATTTTCAGCTCACATCTGGTTTAGTTTCCTGATGGAACCCAAAGTCAAACATCACAGATGGTCGGAAAGTCTAAAAATCAGTCGGTTCTTTCTGGTGTTACCGTTTCTGGCTCTGATAAATGGTGTCATTTTGGTGATTTTTAAAAAACAAAACAATAACAGGCATTTGAAAACTGAATTTCTATATTTATATATTTTACAAAACTGTGGAAAAAAATCCTGGAAACATCATGTAGAAGATTGTTCCAAGCGTCCACAGATCTAAACAGCTCTGGGGGAAAAATTATGGCGACTCTACATCCTGATCATTCACTAGTTATAGGTTTAATTTGTTTATTGTGTTTTTTTTTTTTTTAGAGTAAACACAGCCTGCAGTTCAACCGAAAAGCTGGTTGCAGTTGTTGCTTTTTGGTTGCAGCGAGCAAGTTTAATTAGTTTAATCAGTTTAGTGCAAAAGGTTCATTTTGGTGAACTTCTAAATGAGACGTGCAGAATAAAGGGATTTTAATGGAATATCAAGATTTTCAGGCACCCAAAGTCAAACGCGATGAGATCAAGGACAGTCGGAAAGTCAAAAATTCATCGGTTCCTTCTGGTTCTACTGTTTCTGATAAATGGTGTCATTTAGGTGATTGTTTTGAAACCTGGATTTCTGTAATTATATATTTTCAAAAGTGGAAAAAATCCTGGAAGCATCATGTGGAAGATTTTTCCACAGATGTTAACAATTCAGAAAAAAACGATGTGGTGACTGCGTTCTATAGACAATTTACTACTTACATGTTTAATTTGTTTGTTGTGTTTTTTGAGTAAACAGCCGACAAGTGTCAGAATGTTTTATGACGTGACTGCAGGTCGCAGCTTTTGGTTGCAGCTAGTCGTGCAGAATTTATTTATTTTTTGCAGAATCAGTTTAGTGCAAAAGGTTTATTTTGGTGAATTTATAAATGAGACGTGCAGAATAAAGTGATTTTAATGGAATATCAAGATTTTCAGGCACCCAAAGTCAAACGTGATGAGATCAAAGACAGTCGGAAAGTCAAAAAATCAGTCGGTTCTTCCTGGTTCTACCGTTTCTGGCTCTGATAAATGGCGTTATTTTGGTGATTTAAAAAAAAAAACAATAACAGGCATTTGAAAACTGAATTTCTATATTTATATATATTTTACAAAACTGGGGAAAAAAATCCTGGAAACATCTTGTAGAAGATTGTTCCAAGCGTCCACAGATCCTAACAGCTCTGAAGGGAAAAAACTCTACATCCTGATCATTTATTACTTATAGGTTTCATTTGTTTCTAGTGGGTTTTTTAGAGTAAACACAGCCTGCAGTTCAACCGAAAAGCTGGTCGCGGTTGTTGCTTTTTGGTTGCAGCGAGCGATGGAGAATTTTAGTCAGTTTAATTAGGTGAATTTCTAAATGAGACAAGCAGAATGAAGGGATTTTAATGGAATATCAAGATTTTCAGGCCCCCAAAGTCAAAGGCGATGAGATCAAGGACAGTCGGAAATGTAAAAAATTCATCGGTTCCTTCTGGTTCTACAGTTTCTGATAAATGGTGTCATTTAGGTGATTGTTTTGAAACCTGGATTTCTGTAATTACATATTTTCAAAAGTGGAAAAAATCCTGGAAACATCTTGTAGAAGATTTTTCCACAGATGTTAACAATTCAGAAAAAAACAATGTGGTGACTGCGTGCTATGGATAATTCACTACTTATATGTTTAATTTGTTTGTTGTCTTTTTTGAGTAAACAGCCGACAAGTGTCAGAATGTTTTGTGGCGTGACTGCAGGTCGCAGCTTTTGGTTGCAGCTAGACATGCAGAATTTATTTATTTTTTGCAGAATCAGTTTAGTGCAAAAGGTTTATTTTGGTGAATTTCTGAATGAGACACGCAGAATTAAGTGATTTTAATGGAATATGAAGATTTTCAGGCACCCAAAGTCAAAGGCGATGAGATCAAAGACAGTCGGAAAGTCAGAAAATCAGTCGGTTCTTCCTGGTTCTAGCGTTTCTGGCTCTGATAAATGGTGTCATTTGGGTGTTTTTTTTAACAACAACATGCCTCTGAAACCTGTTTTAGTGGCTTCATACAGATATCGTCAATATTCTTTCCAGCTACTGTGAATATTTGACGACAGGAAGAGACAGAAAATCACCACACAACTGAAATGGCTTCAGATTTTAATGGGGCATAAAAGAGAAAATAAAAAAAAAAAGCGGAACAAAAAAATAACTCAAACGAACAAATCTCCCGCCAGCGCAGTCGTCACTCACTTGACAGTATTCTAAATGCGTCTCCTTCGATTATACCGCCACACCGATGCATAAACACGGTCGCATTAGAATTGCAATGAGCGCTTTTTTTCCGCAGAATTTTTCATCCTGTGGTTCTCGCAGAATGACATGCAGCTTTAATGAGTGGGCGGCAGCTCCAGACTCGATGAAATCGGGCGAACATGTGTCGATGCTGCTGGACGAAGCCCCAGTCTGCCTGTCAGGCCCCGGTGTCCCAGCTCCTCCTAATGAGGCCACGGTGCCACAGTGACCACACATACTGCCGTCTGCCTCTAGATCTATTTCCCAGACCTCTTCCACGCTCACACACACATGGACGGCCATCTTCACTCCGAGCTCCCACTGCAGCCTTTTCCAACTCATCCTACATGCTTTGGCGATTTGCCGTCCTTTCAATCAGTCACGATGCTCGCAGACGAACAGGCTGCAGTGTGTGGGAACAGATTTATCCGAAATCCCAGAGCTGCAGGGGAGGATGCTTCGTGGGATGTGCAGAAGTTGACCGAAGCTTCCCTGAACTGGAATATCTTCCAGGGCGAATGTAGGCTTTAAACCCTCTGAACTTCAGGTTGGAAATCGTCTTTTAAGAAAAGATCGCCGAAGTGACGCCGTTTATCGGAAGCAGAAATTGCAAAAACAGACGACTCGTTGTGTGACGTGCCGAAAAAGAATCCACGTCTCAGCTTAAAATCCTGATATCTCATCAGAATGAACTCAGACAGATGCGGCTTCTCAGCAACAATCAAGTGACTCAGCTGGAACCAACCACAAAATGAGAGATTGTTCAGCTGAACTGCAGACAGTGTTCACACAGAGCAAAGAGGAAACAAGTCCAGAAACAACCAGATCAGTGAGTAAAGCTCGAGCTGTGGTGAGAGTGAAACATCTTTCTACAGCTGAAGCAGAGGACTGTTAAAGCATCTATATTATGTGGAGTCGTGATTCATTTTCCAGTAACACTCGTGGACACATGGAAAAACTTCAGACGTGCTGATTCCAGGGTGTTTTTTTTTTCCATATTTGTAAGATAAATAATCAAGGAAACGTCAGCTTTGTTTTGTTTTTTCTTTGGTGTGATTTATGGCGTTCTAAGTGTGTCTAAGACGTGTCCGCCGTTGTTCTGTTTCCGTAGCAGGACTTGATTTTGCAGCGAACAGAAACAGTTTGGAGTTCATCAGTTTGTTAATTTTGTAGGAAAACGGTGAGATTTGATTTTACGTCTGAGCATTTTAACGTAGTTTTAAATGTTTTTGGCAGACAGACGAGGCTTCTAATCATCTCTAATACGTCCCGTTAATAACTGAAATCAACACTAATTGTCCACCTAATAACCTGATTTTCTAAAACTTTTAGCCTGAGCGTTCCTTCGCTTTGATAAAAAGACAAACTAGTTTAACGATCCTCCTGCTGCATTAACGCTGCACAAATACTAAAAGTACCGTCTATTCCTGCTCAGTGTTGGAAAGTAACTGAGTATATTCATGCATGAGCTGTACTTGTACATTTTATGTCCCTTTATTCTTCCACTTAGACGTATCGTACCTTCTGCTGCACTGCAGTCATCTGACAACTTCAGTTACTCCTGAAATGAAGATTTTAGCCAATAAAACACACCAAGGTTAAAATTTCCAACTTTTTTGGCTTCTAACAAACATTTCAGATCTCTGCAAGACATTTTTTTTTTTCCATCTAAGCTTCTCACATGGTTCCATTTCAATAAAACGATCCAACGTCTCAGCAAAGCGTCTTTCCTCTCCCCACTAATCATCAGATTTATCTGCCGTCCCCGAATATAAAACTGGATATAAAGTGGTTCAAACCTGCAGCAGCGACAACAGCAACGAGCTGCTGATGCTTCGCTGTTAATAATCTAATCATAATAATAATAATCAGGACTTTTACTGCAATGCTTGAACTGCATTTTAACTTGAGTTTGAACCTGTAGCAGAGCTCCTGGAAGCACTTTCCCATCTCTGCTCCCGTCTGAGTAAAGTTTCCTGAAAGCTGCAGCGTTCCTCCGTTTAAGGACTTTTTAAAAAATGAAACTATATATTAGATAAAGTCTGAAGTCTTTAGGTGCTATTTTCTGAGGCTCTTCGGCGAACATTCCTGGTGGCAGATTGAACAAACCCTCGTCTTTTCTGCCAGGTTCTCTCTGTAATTTTCTCGACTCTCAGGAAGTGTTTGTGCAGCTATTTTTGGCCGGACAGTTAAAATATGAGCTCATTCTCATTTCGCAGCAGCAGCAGCAGCGGCGGCGGCGGCGCGGTGATACAGATGAGCAGCAGCAGCAGCACTACAGTAAACTCACATCCTGTGTAGGCCGACTTCCTCATAGTTGACTCCTGTGACCCGCCGTCCATACGATCCTCTCCGCCTGGAAGGACTTTCAGAGCCAGACTTGGGAGCTCTGCTCTGACAGTTCATGCTCCATGCAAGGCCAATGCAAACCAAGCAAATTTATGAACGGCGCTGGGAGATTTGTGGGGGCTTATTTGTCTTTTTTTTTTTAGTTTTTTTTTTTTTTTTGCTGACCAAGCTGTAAATTTTTCTAAAAATTGCAAAATGGAGAGAAAAGCCACAGCGATCCTGTTACAAGTTCAAATGCAGTGAGAAATTCTGCACTCAGGCCTGTGAGAGTGATACCTCGTGTGGATTTATATCGTTTTACGCAGAGTGTAACGAGCATTTTTAGCTTTTTGATTCATTGAACAACTGTTTTCTCAAGTAATGGTTTATGAAAATGTAAAAATGATCACAGGAGGCAAAGAAAACTGGCAAATATTCACAGTTTAAAGGCTACAACTAGTGACATATTTTCCTTTTTGCTTAAAAAAACTCATCTTATGATTAAGTACCCACAGATTTATTAATGGACGTGATAATTAAAGCTGGAGTTTAGGACTTTTCCGTATAAATTAAGCAAGATGAGGCGATTAAGGCTATTAGCGGCAAGTAAATCCATGTAATTCGCAGTATTTTGGAGTTTGAAGTGTGGTTTCTGTGGGGCCATTTTCATGCCGATGCACTGGTTGTGCCGTATTTTAACCAGCAGTGATTGGTTTACCAGAGCTGATGAGGGAAGCAACTGTAGCGATGGAATATAATGACGCCTCTGGAGGAAAACCCTAAAAGTATTCATTTCTCCAGATAAAATAGAAACTCAGTGCGTAGAGGAAGAATAAGGAAGCCTCCTCTAGTGAAAGTCAAATTTGTTTTCATGTCAATATGGTGCTTTTTTTAATGCTAGGAGACCCATCATGACTAAAATAAGCAGTAAACACCATGGTTGAGTATTTCTACCTTGAAACTGCAGTGTACCGGTGACGGTCTCCAAAACACAGATTCAGACTTCCAGGGTTTATGACATCACAAACCCAAAGAGCCAATCAGCTTACAGTATGTGGCTTTATTTATCGTTCATTCTTTATGTATGGTTCAAACATGGCTGAATCCCTCCACTCCACCGTCATGTAGAGCGGCTTCATAGTGTTCAGGCAGAGCTGTGGGTGAGCTGGTGTGCTCGAGCTGCAGAGAGGTGGGTGGAGAAGGAGGCGGGAACTCAAAAAAGTAACTTTAAAACAAAAAGAAAAAATAATCCCGGAAAAAAAAAAAGCTAAATATGTAACTTTGACACACAGAGAAGAGCTTTTAGTGGCCCACTGTTGATCCTGTTATTGATTATTGCTGATTGTTGATTAACGCTCCAAATCCCAAAGAGTTTCTGAGTGTTTTTTTTCTTCTGTCACATTTTTAACTCACTGTGGCTCATTTTCACTGCAATATAAAGTCCTGTACCTCTGTGGAAACAGAACAACCACGACTAGAAGGAGACAGAAACGTCTTCTGTGATTTATAGTTCAGTTAAAATGCCATAAAGCATCAAAAAAATGGGACTTCTGTGGTTGTTTATTCTCCAAATATGCGAAAAATTTTTGTGCCTACAGGTGTTACCAGCATGTAGATGTTTAACTATTTATATTTTTACCACTGCTTCACATCAGCTGTAGAAAGATGCTTCACCATGCTGGATGTATCATCGTCGTTCACTGTTTCTGAGCCACACCACGTTCATTTTATTGCTCCAGTGGTTTTTATTTTCCTCTCAGTCGCTCTAATTTGTGTCATTTCTGCTCCGTTTAAACACTGCCTGCAGTTCAGCCGAGTATTTACTAAATTTCCTCCATGTGACTGTTGGTCGCTGCTAAAAAGATTTAGTTAGTTAGTTAGTTAGTTAGTTAGTTAGTTAGTTAACAGAAGCTGGTCAAAGTTTTTAAATGACACATAGAATAGAGAGATTCACAATGTTGACCTTAAATTTGTTTATTTTCTCGATGGACCCGCAGGTCAAACAAAACCGTCAGAAATCGTTTCTACAGTTTCAGGTTCTGATAAATATTGTCATTTTGGTGATTTTTTAGAAAAGACAGCAGCCTTTAAAACCTGCTGATGGGGTTTAATGTGTTCATCTTAAATTACTGCAAAAGGGAAAAACTCCCAAAAAAAATGACATTTATGAAGCAGCATTTTGCTCATTTTTATCCCAATCATGTGTTCATGCTGATGACATTTCAATACATGCACGTCTTCATCTGAGGCGTCAACGCTAATGTTTCCTGCGTTTCCTCCGGGCAGGTTAAAGTCTGGTTCCAGAACCGGCGGATGAAGTGGAAGAGGGTGAAGGGAGGACAGTCGGCTTCGCCCAACGACCTGGAAAACGACGACATAGACTCAGCTGCCTCTCCCAGCTCCGAATGATCGAGGACTGTAACGCGCTCTGAGACGTCGGAGCTCCAACCGGACGTCTCTTATTCTCGTGGAAAGTTGGAACCAAATAATTCAGGAGACTCTCTTTTTTTTGTTGTTGTTGTTTTTAAATCCCCAGGATGCGTCCCCTTTTTTTTGGCCGTTTTCTGTTGTAAATAGTCGATTTGTGTCCATAATGAAGTGCAGTTCGATCAGCTCGAGAGGCCTCGACTGTGTTTGAGTATTTCAGATTAAAGATGTAGGTTAGCGATAAGCAGCAGCTTTAAGGCAGCGATGACATGTCGGGCCGTGATGTGATTGTGTTTGAGTGCATCCCCTTTGGTTTCCAATAATGTAATCATGGCCTCTGACGCTTGACTACAACCACCTGGGAAAACTCAGACTGCACCACTGTTGCCAAGCCATAAGTGCCTCCGTTTTGTTTTTTTTTTGTCAGTTTCTTTTTCCTCGAATATAGTTTTTTCTGTCAGGCTTTTTTTTTTTTTTTACTACTCTCTTTTTTTATACTATTTGAATGTTATTGATAAAACACAGATGTTGACTGTTTCTGCAAATAGAATAAATCATCTTCTGCAAAATGGGGAACATACCTTGATAATTTCTTCCACCTGCGGCGGCTGAGTTACGACTGGACAGTAGGTACAGTACATGCGTGCTCTTGGCCGGCGCTTTTATCACGTGCGAACCTTCTGCTGAGAAATTATACAATGACAGTCGCTCAGACTAAATAATTTCTGAGCAGCGGTCGCGCTCCCATTTGCGTTTGAAGCTGGCGAGCTGAATCGAGGGGAATAAACGCGATTCGAAGGTATTTTCACCCGATTCCCGAGACGTGCCAGCCGGAGGTCAGACACGTCTGGACTCGGTGGAAAACAACCAACCGAATCGCAGCGTTGCAGACGTGATTAAAAATGGTGAAATCATCTTCCTGTGTCCAAAAACGTCATCTTTCAATCAATGTGACAAACATTAAAACTGCATTAATCAGTATTTTTAATGGGTCACTTGACAATATGCAGTTTAAAAGCAGTCAGGAGGAGCGTAGACGAGCTTTAATGCGTTTTAACGAACTAGTTTGGGGTTTTTTTGGGGGCCTGCAAGTTAATCCTGTGAACCACAAGTAGCTTCTGGGCATTTTTAACTCACTTTAGGTTCATTTCTCAAGTCCTGTGTGGAAACAGAACAACCATGACTAGAAGTAGAGAGAACTAAAGACAAAAACAAAACTAAAGTTGATTTATTTATTTACAAAACATGAAAAAAACCTGGAATCCACATGTGCACCACGTGTCCACAAGCGCCACTGATACTAGAAATCAATGCTGATTCTACAATCTGTAGATAATTTCGTATTTTACATTTTTACAACCTCTTCAAACGTTTGTACTCTTTGTATGTTGTCTCTACAAGACGTCTCACCGTGCTGAATGTATCCTCCAACAACCTGCTCCTCTGTTCAACGTCTCCGAGCCATGCTGCGTTTATTTTAATGATTTAACATGTTTTATTTTACTCTACGTCTCTGTGGTTTCTTTCTATACCTGCCTCCTGTCTGCTCGGTGGAAACACTGCCTGCAGTTCAGCCGAGCAAATTTTTTTATTATTTGTTTTTTACAGAATCTGGTGCACATGGTTTATATTTTGGGCACATTTTTAAGTACCTGGGTTGAAATATAACTACTTGCAGCTCAGATTTCCAAACAGAAAGCCGCCTCTGGTTTGTTAAGAGGTGAATTCTGTTTGTAGTTTCTGATTCATAAATGGTGCAAATTTTGTTGATTTCTCTGTAAACATAACGCACTTGTAGGAGCTAAAGCTGAGTGTGGTGTTGAAGAGCTCATATTATGCACATGTTCAGGTTTGTTATGTTATTTCTGGGGTCTACTTATTAGCTTATTAAACTTTATTTTTCTCACACTGCACCTTCCTGCTGCAGCATCCGTGCTCCTCATCTGACCTGAAACACTTGTTCAGGTCGGTCGATACCACAAAGTGTCCCCACTGGGCTTCAGAATGCACATTTCACACACAGAACCAGCACATTTGAAACTGAAAGTTGCTGCTGATAGTAACTGATGAGTGAAATTTAAAACAGTGAACTACAGACGTGAGCTTCGAGCTAGCTTCTAAGTGTGAACTTGTCTGACTTATCGTATGTAGACTTCGGGTTTAAGTTCGTCTTTTCCGTCACTGGAACAAAAACAACCTCTGAGCAGCACCTACATGCTCATAACGGTGAATCAGACGATGATAATGAGGTGCAGTCAGACCGTCGTCCAGCTCCGACACAGACAGGTCTGGTTATTACTATTATATATGCAACAAAAACCTCAAAACCTTTAGATTTAAACCTGGACTTTGGATCAGTCACCTGATCTGAGCAGCTCATATGGAGTCAACATTTCAAAGCTGGAGGTCAGAATATGTGACTTAGATTGAACATGAATCCTAAGAGGGGCTGCAAGGTGGTTCAGTGGTTAGCACCGTCGCCTCACAGCTAGAAGGTCGCCGGTTCATGTCCCAGTGAGGACACCCGGGATCTTTCTGCGTGGTTCTCTGGCTTCCTCCCACACAGTCCAGAAACATGTTGAGGTTAATTGGTGATTCTAAATTGTCCGTAGGTGTGAATGTGAGTGTGCTTGGTTGTCTGTCTCTAAGTGTAGCCCTGTGATAGACTGGTGACCTGTCCAGGTGAACCTGCCTTCACCCTGAGTCAGCTGGGATAGACTCCAGCCCCCCATGACCCTGGTGAGGATTAAGGTTTATAGATAATGGATGGATGGATGAATCCAACACAGAGTCACGGCGTCGTGTTTACAGCTCGTTTAGTTTCCAAAGTCACTGTTGTAAAAACTCACTGTGGCAGCTTCAGCTTCTAATTTAATAAGACAATCTGTTATTTTTACAGTGTTTCCCTGTTTTGTTAAATGACAGATAAAGAAAAGTCGTTAATTTACATGTTAACCGCTAAAAAAATAAAACTGTAAAAAGTGTCCACATCAGAAATCTGTATTTTCATAAATCGTTCTTTACATGTAAATGCAAAATTACTCTATTGTTAGACCCCCCCCCCCCACATTGTTAAATTACAGATTAAAAAAAGAAACCAGCCTAAAACAGAAACAAGTGTCCACATCAAACGTCTGTATTTTTACAAATGGAAATTTGTTATTTTAGAATGTTTGACCATAAAATCACAGGTTTTTACTGACTTTAAATCAGCAATAAATCAAATTATTTTAAAGATATTTGATGGTATTTGAAAGAAGAATTGTGTAAATTTAGGAATGAGGTATGGTTGTTTTTTGTGTGTAATTTTAAGGATTTTTTTTTCCTATTTTTGTTTACAGATAATATCCAGATAAATCTCAGAAAAAGAGAATAAATTTCAAATTGACTGTAAAATTAAAAAAAAAAAAAAAAAAGATTATACCTTGTTTTGCTAAATTACTAAAATCTGCTAAAACCACATGAACAACGCATTAGGTTTTGTCATTATTGTCAAATTTTACAACAAAATAATATAAAATAAATATTTTTACAAATAGTAATTTGTTCTTATACATGTTACTATATTTAAATCTGAAAAAACAAACAATCCTTATTTTATAAATATTTGCTGTTATTTTTCTACTTTCATTTTTACCATTTTTAGTCTAATTTTCACGTTTTTCTTTGCACAATTTTTTATTTACGGTGTTTCGTTGACTGAAAGTGACACTGGGAGAGTTTTTTTTTTTTTTTTTTTTAAATATTCATGAAAAAACTGGCTTTGCATCAGCCTGATGTCAGACTGAATAATGAAGTGAAACAAACTTCTGATAATCAGACTAAAGGAATTTATGTAAATGTGCTCGTACAGCTCGTGCAGCCAAACACAGTTCAGTCAAACCTCGCTGCAGAAAATCTCATCAGGAGCCTGACGATGGAGGTTTTATTTCTAAGGCTCCTGCGACCCGTCCAGCGATGGCACAATTATCTTCATTAATATCTCACGTGGAGGTCGGATGTCCCTGAGGTCAGATCTCATCAGCGCCCACACAGATCCTGTCTGCAGCCGCGTAATCCTGAAGAATGTTTTCACAGCGGCGAGCGCTCTCCTGCAGACCCGATCGCTCCGATTGGTCCGAAGTGACCTGAGAAGCACCGGCGGAGCTATAAGTAGAAGTCGGTGTGTGTCCCGGCCTGAATAGGAACATTCATTTTTTCTGCACACCACCACTGTCATTCCAGGCCGCTCACAAAGGGCCATTAACCTGACAAGGTGGAGTCGGCCGGCCTCCGAGAGCTAAAAGTATTTGGCCCCTTGCACACTATTTGCAACGGAAGCATCTGGATGGGGCCAATTTGATCTCAACCTGAGTGGAACCGAGACAAACCCACGCACAGGGGCCCCCAGGAGCAGGGGGGGAAAAAAAGAAAAAGCTCGCTGGCTGACCACTTGTGTATGATGGAAAAGGGAAATAATAGGTGGGTATGGGTGAAAAGACGGCTTCTCAAGTACAGGATGTTGTTGTAGCAGGTAGCCAGTCATCCAATTTCCTGCTTCCCAAAGAAAACAAGAGCTCCAAGCAGAGGAGTCCCCAGACTTACAATGGTGGGCCTATGCTCAGACTCCGGCCAACCAAACAAAGCCTTCAGAGGTTACTGCCCTTTTTTCTGCCGGTCTGCTGGGACCACAGTTGGCGGGATGCTGGGACGGTTGTTCCACACACATATACGCAGAGCCGGGGTCAAGTGTTACTGTACGCCTGACCCCTCCGGGCCTCCGGCTGCAGCTGCTGGGGGTGGAAAGAGTCCAAGCCGAGGCTCGCTCAGCCGCTATTAGGCTCTATTATTGCATTAGCGGTAATAGCAGTCAAAATAAACCGTGTCCAATTGTAATGATAGTATTAATATCAGCAGTGTAAACTAATGAAACTGGAATGTTGTTCTTTCTCCATAGAGGTTCCTTTAAAAGACGCAGGGGTGGCCAAATTTATGGATTAGATTTAATTTGGTGGTGTTGTGATTGTGGGATGTTGGACGCTGCCAAAACACCCAAGACGGGCAGAGGACGTAGGTTTCTCTTTCAGAAAGCAGTTCGTCTGTGTTAAACGTGTTTTCCTACCCCTCCGACGCTCTCGTACACCTTGTTCTTTTTTTTATTAGTGCAAAAAAAAACCTCACTCGCCGAGGTACAAATTGAGTCGAATTCAGCCACCAGAAGTCAAGACGGACTCCCGGCAATATCTGCTCAGCTGTGATTGTAAAAGCAGATTCGGCTGCAGGAAGCATTCTTGAAATAACTCCTCGTCTTTGAACACAACCTTCTCTGTGGGCGAAGAGCAATAAGAAAACATTCGTCAGGCTGACTTCACCCTCAGCACTCAACGGGAATATTCCTTAAAACAGGCTTTCAACATGAAGAGTGCGATGCCACTAAAAGCACCGAGGATTCGGCCAAAGCGCTCGATTTCAGCGCGAGCACGTCACCGGCCGGCGCGAGGCTAAATATGTTGCTCTTGCGGACGAACGCGACCTGCGGTTACGACGTTTTCCACTTTTAAACGTTTCCAGTTGTGACTCATTCAGCTGGATGAAAA